TCCGAGACCTCAATAACAAACCTATTTCTCTATACACCTTTATCTCTGGAAAAAATAGGCATGAAGCACACTCAATGCTTTCTCAGGCCCTGCAACTTCTGGGCCTCTTTTGCTGTGTCCAAACTAGATTTTGTGAAACCTGATGAGTGGCACTGTTATTTGCATTCTCAGCCCTGAAGACAGGTGTCTTAGTGTTCATACATTTTAATCTTCAGCTTTAGTGTGCCCTCTGCAAGCAGAACCAATGCGTTTGCCAGCCAGATACCAACCAGTCCCCTTTCACTGTATGCTCTTCTAATGCTCTAATGTTTTGTGGGGTTTTTGAGGCTTAGTGCTCATCTGTGTTTTTTTTCTGACATCAAGACTTTATCCAGAGAAAAATGCTGAGGAGCTAAGCATTAATGATCTGAAAATGTCTGTGTATTGTAGTAGAAGAATGTATGATAGATGAAAGGTTCCGCCTATTTAGCTTGTTTGGGTTGTAAGTGGCAAAGGATCTTTGCCAGGATATCGGTATCCCATGGATGGGAAAATTGTTCCAGACTTTCAAAACCCTTTGTATAAAAAAAGTAAATGTTGTTTTCAGTTTTTAATGCACTTCTTTTGCAAGTCTGATTTGCAAAAGACTCCTATGGTGTCTCATATTGAGAAAATGCAAAATGATGCCTACCATTTTTTCACTTCATATTTTATTCAGAACCTGAATGCTTAAACTGAAGCATAAGAGAAGGTACAGTAAATGCCAGCAAAAACAAAAGAGAAAAAAATGTTGATTGCATAAGTACAGTATTCAGACCCATGAATTCAATATTTGGTGAATGCACCTTTGGCAGCAAATGCAGACAGATGTCTTTTTATGTAAGTCTCTACTAATGTTACATGCTAGCTTGGTGCAATTTTCATCCATTGTTCTTGGCAGATTTATATAAGCTTTCTCACATCATTTGGAGGCAGTTTATGGACAGTTGAAGTTCAAGTCAGGACTTTGGGACACTCAAGAACATTTGCTTTCTTATTATTAAGCTGCTCTGTTGTAGCTTTGGCCTAGTACTTTGGATTGTTGTCCCACTGAAAGGGTAATTTTTGCTCCATTGTTAAGTCTTTAACAGACGCAAACAGGTTGTCTTGGGCTTCGCTCTGTCCATTTTCCTTTTATACTTACTAGCTTCCCAGTACCTGCTGAGGAGAAGCATTCCTTAGCATAAAGCTGCCAACACCATGCTTGGCTGAAGGGATTGCATTGTCCAGCAGATGTGCTGGGCTGGGTCTTCCCATAACTATTAGCATTAAAAACAAAAAGTTTCAGTTTGGTCTTGTTTGACCACACAACCTTTTTGATTGCAGTATAATGGAAATGTTTTTGTTGCAATCTCCATACATGATTTAAGAAAGGTTTGTTACTCAGCTATAAAGGCCATTTTTGTCAAATAAATCTTTTTATTTTTGATTTTATGTCTCCTTTATTCAATAAAGTCCTGTTCTCGTTTACCCATTATATTTTTCTAAAATGATTTATTAAAACATTTGGGACATTACTTTCTGTTATTGAGAAAAATCTGTCCTACAGCATAATATTTTTAAAATATTGTCATCCATTCTCTACTGATTCCATATCTATCCTGTCTTATTTTGCTTCTCTCAATCTGTCTTATTACATTATAGCCTGTGTTGATGAAGTTATAAATCTTTATTTTAGACTGTATTATGCAATATTATGATCATTATGGATTCATGATGGCATACTGTATTATGATTATTATTATCCTAATTGTTTACTCAGCTCTGTTTTTCTTAAAGCTGCAATTCAAAATAACATAAAATGATTACATTTACAGTTGATTTTCCCCCCTTGCAAACATTTCTTTGTTCTTATGTCTTTGTTTAAACATTAGGTTGTATACAGTTGAATCTGAAATTAATTTGAAAATAATGCTTCAAACTTCGAAAGTTAAGAAGGTGGAAACGCCAGTCCTTACTCGACATTAGTCCTTAATGTCTTTGACTTTCATCACACAGTGACGATTACTCAGTTGCATTTCTTATCCATTTCACTCAGTTATGCATCAGTGACCGAGGACTTGGGTTCTTGACTCCCACTCATAATGAGAGGCAGGTACTTTTTGCTTTCCTTCCATATACCAGCACTGACATCAAGAAAGGTGGTGAAACCATATGCTTAAAATAGGCTGTTTTCATTGTATTTTTCAGTTATTACAGCTACTGTAGTATTTAATCTATACTGCTACCTAAACACTATTTATGCCTGGCAGGATGTGCCCTTAAACATCTTGCATTATCTTGAAAATCTTCGACAGTCAGACCTTGGTTACAGGATAAAATCACATTAATTACAGGGAAGAAGGTCTGCATGACTTATTGAACGACATATTTAGGAATGAGCCATGAAGGAATGTATTTCAGGCATTGGACAATTGCATCTGACGTTTTTTTAAGCAGGGCCCTCACATGAGCCATTCTGACCTCAAAAGTCGAGATATCAGTGTTCAGAGATAGTGAAGGAAAAAAATTTAATGTTTACAGATATGTGTAAAAGTTTTCATCTTGTTGAGTCAGAGAATAAAGTGTTTTGTATTTAGGAATTTAACAGATGAAGCCTGAAGTGTTGTTTTAAAGTGTGTGTGAGAGAGAGAAGAACTCACTTCTGTATAAATGTTGTATCAATGTGATAGCACTCACTAATGTGTAAATCTGAAAAAAATATACAGTACCTGGAAATACAAGTGAGGCATTCAATAACAAATGGTCCCCCTTACAATATTTTACAGCCTTATGGCTGTCCTGTCCAAACACTGGGGCAGGCAATACCTATTGCCTAAAGACTCAAAATGTATCTGGCAGTCAAAGGAGTGTTTATGTACTATCAGTTGAATAAGTACTAAACAATTAGAACATTAGAGGGAAGAAGTGGGTCTGAATGAAAACCATTTTTTTCCCTCTTAAAACCATATGGCCATGCTGCTTGAAAGCATGGTATTTTTCATAAGTCTGCAAAAAGGCATCTGTGAAACCAATATATCTCTCCATGTATCAAGAGCAACTCAGGAATTACTAGTCTTGCCTGTCAGGTTTCTCTAGGTTTATAATATAAAACTTTAGATATTTTATTTTTGGTTGTGTTGTTTTAAATATAAGAATAACACTTTTTATTTCATGATCTGCCACAGTCCAGTAGTCACTACAATGATGGAAAATCACTTTAATTTTCACTGAAAATAAGGGATGTTAGGGTTCCTCCATAGATGTGTTCATTTTATACTTGTTTGGCTTTAAAGTTGAATTGGTGGAACAGACATCTGTGTTATTTTATGTGTAGTTCAAATAAAAGCTCAGAACTTGCTGCTGTATGAAAACAGATGACACCCAGGGAAAGAAAAGCCTGTCAGCACCCAGGAGGAACCAGATGCTAAAATGTTCTTGCTAAATCCCCAATTTATCTCCTGTAGGTTTTTCACTCGAAGTAGAGGATTTGAATACACAGAAAAAGGACACCATTTGGTTGTTTGGACTCTCTTCACCACATGCCCCTTTAAATTGAAATGTCATCAGTAACACAAACACGATAATCACAAAATGTACCTAAATATTATCTTGCAGTTTTACTCAGCAATCTCTTTGGTGCTACTCTATATGAAAATTAAATAAAATGTCTTTTCAAAACATTTACTATCAGAGACCTGGAAGCTTTTATTAAGTTCAAAGCAGTGGTGTTTTATGCAATACCTGCACTTTACAGCTAACTTAAAAACAAATCAAGTCTTCATGGTGTCTTTGTGTTTCAGTTAAGACATCTGTGAGACGGGAAGATAGTTTTACATTAGATTAAGACATTAAGCTTCTGCATAAGAAAATGGTTTTGTTTGAGTGTGACTAATGTCACCAGCTGAACTATGTTGTATGTGTACTATATGTATCAACTTGATTGGATTCAACACAGCAATATCCTATACAGGTAAGGCTGTACAGTTTTTTTTAAACAGCTGCAAGCCCTCTTTTTTGTTGAGTTTTCACTAGTCAAAAGCATTTGTTACCCTCAGTGTTCAGGATGAATTTTTTATGTTCATTAAATTGACTCTCCTGCTGCTTGAAAGAGTAATGAGGCAAATCACTCAGTGGCTGTGGCGTTTAGTGAAAAGCATCTCAGTCCTTTTTTATGTAGTGGGTAATACTGTTTTTAAACTGGAAAACAGACAGAATAGGTGACGGTATGAATTGGACTTGTGGTAAATTTAAAGGAATTCAATGTTTCAGACATTTTTAAAATTGTTCTTAAAGTACAGTATAAAGGAGAGGACTATTTGATATGCTGCGTTAAGACCCATATTTTGAAAGCAAAAACCTCAAAGGTAGTCTTTGCTGACTTTGGTTAAGTGTGACTTGCATGTTTTCACTGGTTATAAGCAAATAATTTAATAGTCTATAAATGGTTTAGCTAAGTGTTTAGACTTACCAGTTACTTCTGAAGTGTAGGCAGTCTTTACCTCTTTGTTGTGACTCTCTCCTTTCAACTACTGGCCTGCCAAGAGTTAGTTTTTTTTCCTTGAATAAGACCCTGTAGCCTCATTAAGACATGGAAAAGCACATTCTGAGTTAACCAAATTCAAGGGGGCCAAACGTTTGTCAGTTTTAAATTCATCAACTGGTCGAAATTACAGCACCTTCTGTGAAAGCATAGGCAGCTCTCAAAGATGGCAGCTCTCAGGAGGGTGTCCTGCTTTTTAAAAATGCAAGCAGTGAATACGTGTTGACCAGAATCTCAACAGCAATGTGAGGGCCAAATTTCCCTTTTCATGGCATGGTTCCTGCATGCTGTATTCAGCATTTTCTTTGCCTATCTGAAAGAGTTGACATGCTGTTTTTCGGGGTTGAGGGAAAATGGGAAGTCATTAAAGCCATAGGTGCATGACACTGTTTAATAAGATTTTTTTATTATCCCTTTAATGTGAAAAATGAAAAAGAAACTCATCTAAAATGTGGCAAAAACCATTCATATAATGTCATAAGTTACAGTACAAATATGCAACCAGCTCTTTTTGTAAATTTTGATTAAGTTTAATTTAAATGTACAGAATATTTTATATTTAACATGAAAGAACAGAACTACTCATGTAGTTGTGTTACTATCCATTACTTCCATTGACATGAATCATGAAAATAAACTTGTGTTTTAAACTCCATGTAATCTTTCTTCATTTAGTATTACTTCTTTTAAACTTGTGTATGCTACATAATAAAATACATTACTCCACATATTTAGTAATATACAGTATTTGTTCCTCCTCAAATATATTTCTTAGTTCCTCAATAGGTTTTATCTACTTTCTACTTTCAGCAGTAAAGCTGTCCTTTGAGTACTATAAATATTAATAATCCGTTTCCTTTAACAGGAGAGGGTTACTGTATAAGCTCAATAAGTACGGTAAATATACTAGCTGTTTATAACACATCACTAATTCTTTGTGTTAATAAATTGTATTAATTTCAGTCAGGTGAACTCATGCCATAAAGCAGCATGGAATATTTTATATACAGTGCATATTCAATAATGTACATTTGTTATTAGCCTTATAATCTGACAAGCCTCTAAAGACACCTTTGCCTTGATGTTGCTGGGATGTGTGGATCAGAAAGAAACATGGTCAGATGAACAAGGATGCCTGCCTCTCCCCTAGTCATAAAAAGTAGGCAGAGGTCTGTGCTAAAGAGGCAAAGTCAGAGTCCATGTGGGGAATGTTAAGACAGACATACAGTGACTTTATCTTGATGAATACTGGATGACTGCTGCTACAGTCTATCTGGGCTGCTATACAGTATATGGGCTGTCAAGTTAAGGGGAGGGTAAACTCATTTTGCACAGACAGCAGTGTTGATACAGTAGGACACTGGCATCCATAACAAACACAATATGGGGTGTTTACTCATTTGTAATAAAGTTTTTAACATTTAAATGTTGATATAGTGTCATTTATAGTGTTGGTTGGCTCAAGATAAATGTGACCTGATGTGAACTGGGTATCCAAAGCACTAAAAGCTGCTCTCAGATAGGGTCTGAAATACAATTACAGTTTAACAATTAGAAATTTCTAGTTAAATACAGCTTGTTAAAGAAATTGTAGTTCAGAGTAAGTCCAAAGTATTCATGGAAGTTACAATTACATAAGTAAAAAAATCATTATAAAGCCATCAAAAAATTCATTAAAAAAATAAAGGGTGAAATTTATGGTATTAATAGAATGTATTGGATAACACAGGATTCATAATGGTGCCAGATGATATTAGTTTTAATAAATTACAGGTACTTATTGTGTTGTTTGTGATTCTTATATAATCCTGAAGCTTACTGTTACATCCTTGAATTAAGTACTGTATATCAACCTTAAAAACCACTATTGAGAGCTGTGTGCCCCTACAGCCCTGCTGGGATTCGGTCCCCAGCTCCTGGACAGCTCTGGCTTCAGAATCGCACAGTGCCAATACCCAGACGGTGAATTTCACCAACTCAAAAAGCCAGGTCTCCAAGGAGAATTCAGCAATACAAGGTTCCTAGGGAGAGACATCACCTTCTCTAACAGGCTCATTGCCAGTGAGTCCTGTTAAATGAGCAGAAGCATAGAAATCTTTTCTACCTATGCTTGCTATGAATTTCTTTTGAAGGTACTTTTTCCTAATGGAATATGAAATTATAGCCTTTTGGCTTTTATAGACACTCTCATATTGGTCCACCTCAAATCTGAACAGACAATTACTGGAAATCTCTAGCCTGTCCACTAAGGACTATAACATTTTAAATGTTAAAATATTTTAATGAAGGCTTCCTATTTTAACAATATTGTTTTGATATTCAAAACTAAATGTGTATACATCACTGGGGTGGAGTTGTATACAATATGTGAAATGTCAGGCTATTGTGGGATTGTATCATTTATGCCATGTCCTATCTAAATAGTAACAGGTGTTTGGTGGGTTTGCCATCTCTTTAGCATGCTTAGCGATTGAGGAATAATAAGCTGCAATAGAAGTTCAAATCTTAAGACAAATGTTAGTCAGCTAACATAGCTGAGATCCTGGTGAGAATCATCACCTCTCTTAATTATCAGTACGACACAGGTTTAAACGCACGGCATGGTAAGAGTTTTTTGTAATCAGGGTGCTTGGCGGTAGTACTATCTATAATCGTCAGTGTTTTGGATCATCTGAGTTGAAGATGTTGATGGATAGGAAGGGGATGTCTTCTCGACTTTAGGCACTATTAGTAGAGCTGTGTTGTCTATATTTGACTCCTCCTGGTTGTCCTCAGAGGTTTGAATGGCCGTGTGATGGCATGGAGGTGAGGGCTGTCTTCCCAGCAGATCCACTAGGGAGCCAAGGTGGTGGGTGAGTTCATGGAGAGATGAAGCAATAGGGTCAATGGCAGCCACTATCCTGTCCCCACAGTTAGTGATGGCCGAATGAATCCGATCAAGCTCCTCGCCAAAGTTTCCTAACTCCTTCATTCCTCTGGGAGTGGACGACACATCCGCTGAAGAACTGACAACCGCTCGAGGAGGTTGTAGGACTGGAGTGACCTGTCGAGGGCGAGGAACCAACAGAGGAGGCCGTGGAAGAGGTGCTTGTGGTCTACTAGTTGGTAGGACAAAGGAGGATACAGCCACGATCCTTGGAGGGAGTGCTGGAGAGCTAGATACTGAAACGGTCTGTAAGGGTGATGGGCCAGACAGCTGGGAGGGTTCCTGTGGAGCTATAAATATAGTATATTGACAGATTACTCTTTTTCTTTTTTGCAACAGCTGAGATCCTTATACCAAATGTACTTATGATTAATAGATACAGAGAATGCATTAAATTAGAATAGGGTAATATCCTCAGTCCCTGTCTGGTGTTTTAAAACATGTTCAGAAGTTGTTTTTGAATTACTACCAAACATCGGAAGAAAGCTTGAATACATTGCTGTCAAACAATTTTTAGACTAGTCTTTATTGTCTGAATATTACCAATATTCACCAATTCTTGGTAAAAGTCAATCTAGCTCTTTACTTACAGATGTTCATGTTTGTGTTACTTTTGTTCATTTGAGTCTACTATACTTATATTTGTGCTGCTGCCTTAAAAATACAGCTCTTAGTTTGCTATTGATTTACTGAAACCCTTTATTTTGTGTACAGTACCTTAATGAGCCTCCTGTGCCATCATCCTTGCTTCCAGGCATGTACAGTACTTTCACACCTACCTCCTTCTTAAAACAAACTGTTGCTTTGTTGTTAGGTGTGTTGGAATTTGTTCTCCCTTATGAAAGTATACTGCATAAAATGGTAAATTCACACAGTTCTTTTAAAGTTTATTTCATATTTTTACCAGGAAACTGCTATGATTAATTTATATTTTTTTTCATTGTGCTTTTAATTAACTGGTACCTCTTTGTTTCAATGAGATCACCATCCACTGTGCTCTATAATATTATTTTGCTTCAATGTCCTTTGAAGTCACTGTGTTTGTTACAAAAAATGAACTGCTGTAATAATCAAACCTTCCTTCAAGACGTGAAATGCCAAGATTCATAAATTGATCTGGAACATCCCAGAAATGTCCACCTACTATAATTAAAAAGTTGATTTCTGAAGATTTTTGTTCCAATTAGAAAATTTGCCACACCTTTCCCAACACACCAAAGAACTACAGGTCAATATCCTTGCCATCTGTATCTCATTGAAAGTAGTATTTGGTACACCGCATAGTGCTACATTCCTTACCTAAACTGGTTACAGTTTACTTTTGCAAAATATGGAACTGTAATTTTTTCTGTAATATTTCTCAGTAATTACAAGTTGAGCTGAAAAAAAGAGTAACTTGCACTCATGTTTTAAGTAAACATTTAGTACTTGTTCAAAGATATCACTTACCTCTTTTTGTAGCTGCCTTTCTTAATTCTCTGTATTCTTTTTTTGCTGCAGTTGATAGATTTTCATATTTCTTTTTAACTTCTTGAATGGTTCTCTTCACTGTGGGATTTTGAGAGTTAACACAATCTGTTATTTCTTTCCAGTGCTTTTGCTTAATGACTGACGTCACTGCAGGGTTAAACTTGCTTGTTAGGATCTCTTTTCGTCTTGAGTATTCCTTCAACAGGATTGCTTTCTCCTCCTCTGTCCAGTTTGGATTCCTTTTTCTTTCAGCCATTTTACTTTTAAGAGAACCTGAGGTTGAGCTCTGAAGGAAATCCTGTTGCCACGGTGACAGACTGAGGACATGGCCTGTATAGTATGCAGCTATTGGCTGTGAATACCAATTACATCACAAGCACTTAAGTGTTTTCCTTTTCCTTGGCCTGAGGAGAGAGAAAATCTGCAGAAAATCTACACTTAAGTACAGGAAATCCACTGAAGAATTTTATATAAACCATTCAAATTTGGTTTTAGGTTTTCTAAGTTCTGTACAATCTTTAATCTTAGCATATAACTAGTAAATACTTTCTCTATTTCTATTTTCTTTATCACTTGACCATTTTAACAGTTTTGTTAAGTGGGTGAAAATCACTGATTTACAGTGAAAATAGAAAAGCCTGTTCTTTCAAACTGCCAGTGTACTTGCTTTCAAGTAGATTTTATTTAAATTACAAAGTATTTTTCAGTTAACTTGATTTATCCTTTTTTTCCTGAGTCTGGTGCATTCTGCTGACCTTCCCTCTTTAAATTACTGAAATGATTTGCTTTCTTCTATTAAGAACTATGTCTTTGTTCTTGGTTTGCCGTGTGTTTATAACCAATGAACCTGTTGACAGCTTTTGTTGTCTGAATATCTACAGACATGGTATTCACTTTCTTAATCACCTTTATCTTACCAGAGATTTTTCTGTGTAAAGGGAGGCATTGCTGGCTGCCTTTCTTTTGCGTTTTTTTGCCAACTTAATTTGTCTTGCAACAAAACATCACTTGCACCTTTTGACCAGGATCACCCACTCTAATTTATACTGTACTCCTTAAACACCACTTCAGATGTGTAGCGTTATATAAAACATTTTGTTCTGTAATATACAAGATAAAACAAATCCCTGATTGTGCATCTTATTTTAGCCTCCCTAAAAACAGTTCTTCTAAAAAATTTGCTTATACAATGCAACCATTTAGTTGACATACTGTATTTAAAAACTTTATTTAAAATTAATGTCTATATATCCCACATCATACAGTTCAATTTACAGTAAAATGATCATTATCAAATGATTACAATAAGCTGTACTTTGACTGGATGTTATAAATACAGATTCATTAAACTTGATATAGAGTCTTCTTGTTGAACACAATTTCCAAGATGACATGTATACCAAAGAAAAATAAAAAATAGCTAATAACAATCTAAAAAATTGTCGATACGGGTTTTTTTATTTTTCAGCTTTGTTTAGGTTTTACAGAGGTTATTGACTGTTTCATTGACATTTTTCCTCTCTTTTCTGTGATTTGTGGCTTCAGTGTTGACAAACATGGTGTGTATAGAGACCTCACACATAGATAGGGATTTTATGAGACCCCAGGAACTGTTGAGAGACTATTCAGGACTGAAGCTGTCTAAAAGTTCGTTGCCTATTAACCCTGGCCATTCTAGTTTTGTTCACACTCCAGGGGGTTAGTCATTAATATTAACATTAACGGAAGCATTAGGGCATTTGAAGTTCAAGTCCTTTCCAGGCCTGTTTGAATGGGATATGCTCTTACTTTCACAGAATACTTAGCCACATCTACATATTCAGAATGTGACACCCTTATTTTGTATGCATGGCTTACCAGTACAAGGGAGAGCCGTACTGCAGACCCTGCAGGCTGAAGAAAGCAAGCTTTCAAAAGGCAGACAGGAAAACAGAATTTACATGCTGCAGGTCTTTCTTAGGCCGTAATTATTATAATGCTATTTAAATTTGGCTTTCTCAGTACAGAGAGGGCGTTAAAGGGGAAATCCACTGTGATAACAAAAATCAAACAAACTTCACAAAACTGCAGTTCAGTACATATTAGGTCATCGCATAATAACTGTATGTTCCAAAACACCTACATAAACCTGTGCTGCCAATCTCCAAATCAGTCTTCTTACTGCAGTCTCTGGAGCCAGGAAAGATGCCTCCTAAAAATAAACATTCGCAAACATGTCTATTAGTGTTGTTTGCAAGATCACATTTTGTTGTATTACTGAACCTCTAACAATAATAATACCGCGCAATGCATTGTCTAAATTTGCAACAAATGTTTAATATATTCCTTATTAAACATTATATTTATATACAACTGTCATATATATATACAGTAAAGGAGTTATACGTATATTGACAATCGAGGACAGAGACAGATGAAGAATGTATTTATATGTTACATTTATAAATATTGCCTATTTGTTTGTATGAGACTGAAGGTGGTGTTTTTATACAGACTTTTTGTGGGTTCATCGATTCTACTTTGGAAGGCATCAAAAAACATCTGTGGCTGTCTTTTTGACTCAAAAGGAAAGGGTCTTTGCTGGTTTAGTATACTGCACAGGGAAGACTGATATTTGAGCATGCAACTTTAGTGTACAGTATATGATGACCAGATATACAGTATTCTGAACTATAATCTGGGAAGTTTACATTTGATTTTTGTTTTGCACTGGTTTTCCCTTTTAATTTGGTGTGGTTTTGTAATTTGTTCTTAGAATTTCCAGACAGTAGAAAAGCAGTAAAGCAGTAAAGCACTGAAGATAAATTTAGAAAGGCTTATGTTGATTTTAACTAGGCAGTCAGGAGTGTTGAATTTATGAAATCCCCCCTTTTAATCTAAGGTGACACACTCCTTTTTAAAAATGCATTTCATGAATAAATGTGCAATCTCATTAAAGCACGGAGCTAGGTTAAAACATATTGTTTTACAAAAGCAGTAGGAAAAATCAAATTTTGAGAATTATTAACTGAGCCGTGGCATCTGCTTTTGAATGAAGAATTATTATAACATATTTTACTGTGTATTCTACATCTCCAGAGGGCGACAGTTTATTTTTAATATTACAAAAATGTATTTAAAAAGATGAAACAATGTCTGTAAGAAATAATAGCGTACATATATGAAAGGAATATTTTATCTAATGTTTAGTCCATCCGCTTTCAATAAATGCTTATTGAACATTTTCAGAAACTGCTTAGTCCAATACAGGGCAGCAGTGACCTCGAGCCTAAGCCAGCTGACAACCGCCACTACATGGGCTTAACCCAGGATGGGGGTGCCAGTCTATCACAGGGCACACACATGGTGGACAGATAAGAGATGCCAAATAACCCTGGCATCTCTTCTTAGAACTGTGGGAAGAAACATGGAGGACCTGCAGCAGTGAGAACAACATGCGAATTGTACACAGGAGGCAGTCCAGTCCTTAACCGAACCCAGAACCCACGGGCTGGGGGCATCTGTGCTAACAGCTCATTAAACGTCTCGAGCCGAATAAAAAAAAAAAAAGAATCTAAGAAATTGCCATTGGCAGCAGGCAGGCTCAACGACTGACTCACTTTCATATATTAAGAGCATTTTATTTTCAAAAAGAAGAAAATAATCATTGTTTTCTTTCCTGCCTACCCGTGTTTAAGCAGTTGAGTAAACAGTGTGTAGTATCTTTAAACATAAGCAATCAAAGGTAAACATTCCTGATGGAAAATAGGCAAACAAAAATAAGATCACCTCAGCAGATGACTGACTGACTATACCTGCATAAAAACACATGTGGAACCAAAGACTACCAATTTCGTTGATGGTCCACCTTGTCCCTGTGTTCCCTTCTGGCCTTTTATCACGAAGGTCTTCAAAAGAAATGGGTAAAGGTGAAAGGTTTGCTGTCACTGCATGATTGCTCCATGTGTTCATAAAAAAATATACACATTGCATTTGTACAGAAAGAGGCTTTCTGAAATAATTACAGTAGCTTCGATGGTATGTAGCTGCTTTCATTTGTGGCTGGGTGGGGGTGGAATGCATTTCTGGCAGTCTGATCAATAGTTTGGGTCTGCAAAGAAAAAAGAAAGTCTTCCAGAACTTTACTCTCTGCTCTACTTGAATTTTAAAGCTTGGATAAAAAATGGCTATTAATAATTGCAACATGCCTAATTTTCCTGTAATAAATGTCTTTCATTTGCATTCAGAAGGCCAAATTTAGAATTCACCTCACCACTTACAACCCCAGACCTGGGAAGGAGAACACAAGATTAATTATTTGCCATGTTCTCCACATCTGGTCAGTTTCTCTTCATACCAAATTAATCTTTTTAGCAGTTGATGCCAAGATATTTAACCTAGGAAGACTTTGTTCACCTCCTTGCCCCAACAGGTGTGTCAGTGTTGAAGAGGTGAATTAACAGTCAATTTTCCACTCTCTTGGTAAAGTTTAACTCAGTATTACACTTATTTTCTAGAGTCTGTAGAATGATGTTGTAGAGGGTTTAAGAAAAAAAGATTTAAACTGCAAGTCTAAGAAGAGAATAAAGCTTTCCCATTATGTGTAAAATGTCAGCATGTATTTATTGATAATAAACCTTCAGTTAATACTATACTCTTAGATGTACTTAGTGTATTTTAATTTTAATGCTTTCACTATTGATTGGAATTATTGAGAGAGGATTCATTAATGGTACATTTTTGTTAATGAATGCTGCATATCATTACATGGTTCTGTTTTCATTTTGAGATTGCATTAACAAGCAATAGTAGCATAAAAGTACAGAACTAGAAAGCCTTTCTAAAGGAACATTATGTCCTTCAATCAATGTGTCTAGCAGCGCGTTTCAGATAATGCCTTACTGAAGGTCACCTTGACTTGGAAGACAGAAAAGCTCACCTCTTTTCTGCTCAGGGCATTTTACAAAGAGAATTGTAGTTAATACAGTAACTGTTCATTGCTTAGCAAGAATAAATGCTGAGACAACATATGGAAAAAGTGATGAGGTTTTCTGCAGGTGATGACAGAAATATTTAAGAGCACATTCTGGCGTGAAACCGAGACCTCGGTTTTGGTCTTAAACCTTTATTGCCTTGACAGGATGATTATATCTGTCCCTGTTTTCACTCACGTGTAATAAGTAAATCTAATTCACCTTTTTCTCTTTTGCTCCACTGTGATTTCCTCCTTTAATAATGCTTTTATACTTTTCTTCCCTAACTAGCCCTCCCTAGCTGCCTGTGATGCCCTGTCGATCCATGTGAAGTCAATATCACACTAAGATAATACAGAACTGAATTAAATATGTAAATTTGCAGAATACAGAATATTATATGGACCTTACTGTAAAAATAATTTATGTAAATTAAAGTTTCCTTGTTTACTTTTAATATGAGTAATGAGAGGATTATTTAGTTTTTTTTTATACTTGGCTTTCAGGCTACTTGTAGGAAGCTTTCTTGACAGCGACCCAGGGGGAGAGAGGGGCTTTTCCATATATATATAGTAATTATGACCTCTGTCACTCTGCTGGGCCACTCAAGCACTCAAGAGATTTCAGTGCCAGTATGGGTTTAATGATCCTTCAGAAAGTATCTGAATTAAGTATGCAGGGCAAGGTCAATGCAAGGGAAATTAATTCTTTCTGTTGGTGTGGAAGTGGAATGGTGCCAAAGTAGGCATTAACTCCTTCTAAATTATTTGCCCAATATTTTATTCTATCTGCTGCACCTAGATTTATGTTACTGAATTTTCCATATTAAAACACATATTTAACTTTAATTTGAATTGTGATGTGTAGTTATGATTCATATTTTTATTTACAGGTATCACCTATTCTCAGAATTCTGGAAATTCACAGCTTTTTGTGAAAGGGACAGAATAGCATGATTAATTAATTAAGCTGAAAATACTTTGAAGTGTTAATGTATAATTTTCATACTGTCTACTGTCACTTCTTTAGGAACAGTTTTAATAGTTCATTATTTCATGTTAAAAAATCTTGAAAAATGAAATAATAAACTATTAAGCAACTATCTGACAAAAGACAAAAGTGTATTTTCCATAGTTTATTAGAGACTGTTCAGATATATAGTATAGAAAAAACTGTTGTAACATTTTGTGGGGAAACATAATACTTTTTCAATAACCTTACCATAATGCCTTACACTGAGGATTTCTGATTACCAAAAACATAACAGAGGCTATAAGATGAGGCTATTCAGCTGGGACAGCTTCAACAATACGGCTGTGGCTGGAAAAAATTTGGTCCATAGACCACGTGGTCCTACAGATCACTGGATAAAGTAGTGCCTCCAGTTCAGTTTTACATGCACTATAATGTATTGTACAATTGTGTTCACTTGTTTGTGTTTCAAGTGGTAAGGGAAAATCAAAGAAATTATTATAAATGTCCTTTTATTTATATGACAAAATAGACCAACATTAAAAATGGGGCTATTCCGTCATATACTCTAAACGAAAGAATTCTTCTAATTCTTGATTTAAAAACTGGTGGATTTTTCAGCAAACATTAATTCAAAAATACCCATGCATTTCACCTATTTTTTCTTTTTGTAAAAGCATTTTATGGAATAATACTGTCCATCATACTGGACATTTATCATAGGACATAATATCATACTGACTTTGACAAAAAAAAACTTGCATAACAAACTTTCACCATTTAAGACAATGAATCCGTTCTAGAGTATTACAGCTTAACTGAAGCCTGAGGGAATCATTAAATATATGTTGTATGGGATGAAAATATAATTAAAAAGTTACCAAGTGCTTTAAAATAATTTCCTATTTTTAATGTGTGACTGTCCTGAGGAGGAGTAGTTGGTGAGAGCTTAGGTCTTTGGGTTAAATACCTGTTGATGAAACTACAAATGTAGCAATTGTTTGTAAGAGCATGTAGACTTGATTGCAAATTCAGAGTCAAAATGAAGTTGCCACTGGAAATGTTGGTGATTAACCTTTGTAAGGAAAGCAATTTCAAGAAATGCAGTGGGCTCAGGATTGTCATATGTAAACTGAGGTGTCATTGTGCTATCTTTTTTCCATAAAACAAACTTGTACTTGGACTTATTTGGTATTTTAGAATGGCTTTTTGGTGCTTTGGCATATTACTGTAGTTCGGTCACTATACTGTACAACTACAGTCAACATTTAAGGGTTTTTGAACCCAAACCCTACACTGGCCTGAAAAGCACGCTCATTTCAATACTCTTTTTACAGTATTTTTCAGCTGATTGAAACATTTCCTAAAGAAGACACATTATTGAAGCCGAACAATGTCCAAGAGCTTTCAAATCTGATGACTGGTGGAGTTCAGAGACCGATTGCAGGATTGGCTGGTTGAAGCCCCAGCTAGGGTTAGGGTTACATTCCCACACTGCTTAGACATATGTTATGCTCAGTGCTGAATTTTGGGTCCCAAGGTAACTTTAGGAAGAGTGGTAATATATTCCTATCTGCAATTTTTTTTTTCGGAGACTTTTGGGTGCCTATGTTGTACAGTATATTGCTGCGAAGCGTAATTGTAATCTAAAACGGAGTCAGATCAAAAATTGTAAGAAAATGTGTCTTTCTTTGTAAACTCTCTACTTTTCTCATTTATCGAGCAACTAGATGTATAACCTGGGTGAACATTTCATGATTCTTGTAACCCAAACCCTACAATGGTATGAAAGGCTCACAGATCTCAATCCCATTTTCAGAACATTTTTCAGCTGATTGAAAAGTTGCCTAAAGAATGCACATGATTGAAGATGGTACATTTCTAAGAGCTTTTTTCACTTGTTGTAGTTGTTTCAGACTCGTAACTGTTTATTTTGAGGAACATTTTGAAATCTGAGGGCTGGTGGAGTTCAGAGACCGATTGCGAAGCGTAATTGTAATCTATCAAAAGTCAGATCAAACATTGTTAGAAAATGTGTCTTTCTTTGTAAACTTTTTTAATTTTGTCATTTATCATTCAAGTAAATGTTTAACTTGATTCTACATGTATTGGTTATTGTATCCCAAACCTTACACCTGATTGAAATGCTTGTACATTCAGTACCAATTTTCATCTGATGGAAAATTTTCCAAAAGAACGTACATGATTGAAAACAATACATTTCCAAGAGCTTTTTTCAGTGCATTTAGTTGTTGTAGAATTATAATTTTTGGTTTGAGTTATTTTTTTAAATGTGATGGCTGGAGGAGTTCAGAGACAGATTGCAGGATTGGCCAGTTGAAGCCCCAGCCAGGTTAGGTTTAGCATTCCCACACTACTTAGACATATTTTATGCTCAGTGCTGGATTTTGCGTCCCAAGGGAATTTTAGGATAAGTGATTATATACTGTTTTTGTATCTGCACATTTTTTTGGGAGACTTTTGGCTGTCTGTGCTATGTATTGCTTCGTAGAGTAATTGTAATCCAGAACCGAGTCAGATCTTTATTCCTTTGTAAGCTCTCTTAATTGTGTAGTTTGTCGTGCAACTATATGTATTTCTGTAGTCGGTGCTGTAGGCTGTGTATAGGTTGCTTTCCAGAGGACAACTGAAAAAGAAGTAAACAAGTGAGCAACATTTAAAGTAAATGTTTTCCATGCTTTTTCTACGTGATTCTCGTTTTGGATTGGATTTTTCTGAATAAGTCATGTTTTTTTTCTCCTTTGCTTAAATTAGATTTTTTTTTCTTAGATCTTTTTCTGACCTACTGTATATGGTGTTCTTTTTACCCCAGGAGCATTGCTCTGCAAAACCCTGCATCAACAGATGAGCAGAGCAGACAACAAGGCAGTAAAGTCAAGGACAGTTCCTATTACCAGGTAGCACCAGTGGAGAGAATACCCCAGGAATTCTTCAGAATATCAGACACACACACTGCAGGACTTGGAATAAAGAACATGCAAGAGGTTAGACTCACTTTATATAATATAATATGTTTAATATGCTTTTTCCTCCTTGCGTTTAAACAAATTTAAATATATTCTAACCTTTTTTATACCTTTTACGCAAAAGTTCTGATATAATATTTTGTTTTAAAATAAAATATTCAGATCAAAATGTATATTCATTACTGAAATGCCTGCTTTGTGTCATATGAGCATGTCATGGATACACAATTTCAATGGTTTCTCATATTGTGAGAGTAAGGCAAACCAAATCAACAGAAAACTGACTTTTGTTGTGCCAGCTCTTTTAGTTATGTTTTTTTATTTTAGCCTAGAATGCAAATTTTATTCTTCATTTTCAACTGACAAAATCGAAGAGAAGCACAATAAGCTTGAGGTATGATGCAGAACTAACCACCTTGACTTATCGGTGACAGGTAACATTTTAATTATATCCCCAACGACAAAGCTGTGGAGCGAGCTAGTGTTTGCAATGGTAGCATCCACACACCTGGTACTCTGTGCCTGTTACCATGGAAATGCATTCTGACAGGAAATCTGCAACACCTGTGAGCTATTTCCTTACGCACCCATATCAGGTAGTGCAGAAGATTCAAGGACTTTTCTGACAGGGGTCTGGCATAGAGTCATGCTCTGAGTAAGGTCCTAGTTGCCTAGTTCCCTACTTCTCTGCTTGGTGGTTACTTTCGATATACAATACATAGTTTTACTGTATTTAAGAAGGGAGAAGATTTTTTTTTTTTAGGTGTGTGCCTTTTTCTTTACTGTTAGAAGCTTAAGATGGCAAAGCAATTGTGACAAATTAAAGTATTATTTATACCAGTAATAGTGATTGCTGTTTAATAAAATATTAATATCAGCGTTGTAGTGTTTTCTACTTCAATGCTTCCTCTAGGACTCAGCAGGTCTTCAGATGGAATGAATAGTTTATTTTAGATGAGGTAGCTAGTTTCAGTATTTCCCAAATTCTGACAACATCTTCCTGTTTTTTTTCTCTGTTCACTTGCTGTCTAAAGCTAATGTGATTTATCCATGCTTGATTACTGTATACATTTCTGGGGCAAAAGGTACAATTCAGAAATAATAAGAAACTACAGTATGTTTCTATTAACTATTTATCTTATTAACAAATACTTTATCACTGCCCCTGGGGAAGTCATCTTATTTCTTTGTTATAAACATAGAAAAAAAATACATACAAGGATTTAACACTTTCTGAATATCCAATACTAGGCTGTAGTAATTGATAACATTAATACACTTCCCAGAATTGCTATCTAATATCATTCTCCTTCAAGGTTTGGAAAGGTCACGGCTGTAACCAAAAAGAAATGGTTGTTTTTTAGACTAGACAACAGTCAAGACCTCACTAAAATGTAATGCATTGTGTCAATAGAGGACTAACAAATAATTAGTGTATTATTATTCTCAAATCTTCTTGGTTTGTTGTCTCACATTAAATATTTTTTTTGCATACAGTACAGTATCTGAAGATATGGCTCGATAATATGTTTTATCTTAGTTAAGTGTTTCATGTAAATTGGTCTACAGTATATTAAGTCAGGTGGGTAGCTGCGACAGCATGCGTAGGCTGCAAAGGAACAAGTAATAGGTTTATTCCATGCTGAAAAAAAGAAGAAAGAGAACACAACGTTTCGGCCGTGGAGCCTTGACACCTGTAGAAGGCTCCACGACCGAAACGTGTTCTCTTTCTTCTTTTTTTCAGCGTGGAATAAACCTATTACTTGTTCCTTTACAGTATATTAAAGCATATTATCAGCATGGACAATACAGATTTTAAGTCAACAATTTGTGTTTATATTCATAACATACAGAATGTACAGGAAGCAGAGAAAGCAATCTTTTGCATATTATTGTTGGTTTAAGATTAAGTGCTACTAGAAATGCAATAATACATAAGTGCTAGGAAGCAGAGCATATGTGAGCTGAGATGCCAGTTTTATCTGTTTCCTAATAACTACTAGCCTTCCCTGCATGTGGCTTTGATCAGTGCTTATTGTGGCAGACCTAGTAGCAGCCAAACCGCCTTGAGCAGAAGTTGACCTTCTTGCAGTTTTATTTCTTTTTAATCCTTTTATTCTCAAATTTTAAAGTTTTATTGTAGTGCCAGCTTTTTTATTTATTTTTATATAACTCCATCTACATCCAAATTTACAGAACTAGAGGTTTGAAACTGCCTTTCTCTCAACCCACCTCTTTTTAGAACTTCAGAACATTTTAGAACACTTTTGTCAAACAGATAAGAGTTTTTCTTATATAAAGTTTAATAATAAAAAGTTTAACTTTTATCTTTGGCAAAGCTCTGCATTATTATAATAATGCACATTAATTGTTAAAGTATTTCATTGTTTGTAAAAAGAAAAACATAATGGCTTTATAAAAGAAAGAGATCACTTGTGTAATCTGGGAAAGCTTTTCATTGTAATGATGCTGTTATTCATTATATAGAGAAAAGGATAATTCTGAATCGAGCAGAAAGCTATTGTAGTTATAGGTACTCCAGAATTCAGGCCAATTTAATGTTAATATATAGAGGGCAATATGTTTATTTTTTGGGATGGGGGATTAATGACTTGAATTGCATAGCTAAAACAGCAATCTTCCAAATTACCTGCGTGGCATTTACTCAAAATTCGATTTTTTTCTCTTTGCGAGTTTCATTGCATCACATTTCTGTTTTCAGTAATACTTTGCTTTTGGTTGCTCACAAATCATTCTGAAGTTAAACAGAGTTGTCAGTCTGACCCTTAAAAATGGATTATTTGGTAGATATAATAAATATAGCTTACAACTGCTGCATGGACCATAAAATCCTACTCTATTACCCGCCTGCGTGATGTGGACTTGAATTCATACACACAGATACACAAGCAAGAAAGGTTGTAAGTCTCTGGAAAGAAAATTATTTATTCTATTTTTATGTGTTCTGTTTGATTTATCCATCAGCTTTAAATGCACAGCACTGAACTTACTGCTCTCGTATTGTGATGTAATCTGAAAGGGGATGATTCTGGTTTTCTCCCACACCCTTACTATTATGGAACCAATAATGAGTACCTTGGATTGGCCTTCAAGGTCATCAGATGGAAGCCCTATTAACAACCTGTAGGACACATTGTGCTTTCACGATCATCTTCGTTATCTACAGTAATTCAGACAATCATTTTACACCTTCTGCTTCTCGGGAGGAATTTTCTTGACATCTGCATCAGTCAAGACAGGCATCACATTGTGTCCATCTCCTCTGCAAAGAGACCTGCATCTTCTGGACAAAGTTTTACTTCCATTTTAAATAACTACTGGCTTCCCATCTATTCATGCCAATGTTTTGTGAGTCAGCAGTGTTCTTCTGTAGGCACTGTCTAAGCAGACCCAACAATAAAAAGTGTAATGTCTGAACAAGAGCACACTAATTATGCTGCTGGAGGTGGACACTGGAAAGAAGGAAAAATTGAACCAGTCTCAATTAATCATTTGTACAGCATTTACAACATTGGTTTTAAAGTCAGTTAGGAAAACATACAGGTCATAACCAGATTTCATTTTTTTTATTTATAGCAACCTGGCTCTGTTGACTGTATTCGAGCAGTGGTTTAATAAGAAAAACACTTTGTGATCTGTTTTGTTAATGGAACTGCAGTAGTGGCATTTTCCTCCTTTCACTTTGCTCTTTACAAGTCAAATGAACCTCACAATTTTATGAAAAAGATAAATTAAGATCAAACTGATTTATTGCATTATTTCTGTCATTAATAAAAACATATCACATAGAACAAAACTATTTAAACTATATAAACTATGCTGAATTCTCAAAACTCAATAGAATACTTCTATACCTCAGATGTTCTATAGAAATGAACTTTCAGAATGAAGTCTTATTCCACACCTGATTTTTTTGTTTGTGATATCATGCAGTATATTGGTGCACTTACTCTTAAAGTTAATATGAATGCTAGCTGATAGTCCATTATCTTACAGTTTGTTGAAATCTGGTGTTTGACAATATATTTGATTAAGATCTTGCTTTAAGCAGATACAGTAACTTACAGGCACTACAACACAATCCAAAATTGTTTTCCTCGTATAAAGGTTCAGTGTGATATACTATTGTAAAAGCAGTGTAAATCATTAGTGTAGTAACAGGAAACAAACTGTGGAAAGTCATGTCAAAGCAACACAAAAGCTTGCTAGTAGTAACTAAATAACCAGTAAATCAAGGGTTTAGGAGCTGCTCTAGCTTGATGTTGTCATATTAAATTCCTTTACTGCCCTTTATCTCTAGGAAGAGTCCACTGCAGCAAAATATGAACACATGGCCCACATGAAAATTAGCAAACAGCTGCCCATGACTGACGGAGTCAGTAAACCATTCCAGAGCGCTGTGGCACCTTTACCTCCATTGAAATTTCAGAGGCTTACAGGTGGGTATTTTGTGTAGATACTGTATCAAAACCCTCTTCGTTATGGCTTTTCAACAATATAGTATCTGTCTGTTAAACATCAGTTTATTCCATGTTTTTAAGAAGATGCAAGATTCATTTGTCATCCATCCATCCTTAGAAATGAATACTGTAAACTGCTGTGTCCTTGCGTCTTTATAATGTCCTTAGGGTGTGATTATCTCTTGGTAAACCATTCTTGTCATCCCTTTGTTTTAATATCCAGGCTTTATAGTACTCATGCGATTTAAACAAGCAAAGATTTTAGGCTTGCCCCTCAGCAGTGCAGCAATAATAAGAGTTTAATTTTTAATTTTTTTTTATAGTGATCACATAAGTATGTGGGAAATTAAAGCATTTACATTTTGAAAGACAATAATGAAAAAAACAGTGTTGCACATGTGAAAATCATTATTTAGAAGACTTGGATTAGTATCGAATAGCATAGCAAATGCATAGTTTACGTCCTTAACATTTGATATAGGTATTACAAAGGTTGGAAAGTAAAAACTCATTTACCTTTAGATGATACATGAAACAAGATTATTTCTCAGACAAGGAAATATCTTAACTTGCTACATACAACAAAATCAGTCTCTCTCATATTCATTCTACATGCAATAATAATAATAATAATAATAATTGCTTACACTTATATAGCCCTTTTCTGGACACTCCACCCAAAGCGCTTTACAGGTAATGGTGACTCCCCTCAACCACCACCAGTGTGCAGCCCCACCTGGATGATGCAACATTGTCCCTGTCACTATACTGGGGCATTAGGACCCACATAGACCGCAGGGTGAGCGCCCCCTGCTGGCCCCACTAACACCTCTTTCAGCAGCAACCTTAGTTTTTCCCATGAGGTCTCCCATCCAGGTATTGACCAGGCTCACACCTGCTCAGCTTCAGTGGGCTGCCAGTTGTGAGTTGCAGGGTGATATGGCTACATATCAATTGTCAGCTGAATACCAAGTTACTTGTTTGATAATTAATGATAATATCGAATGAATAGCAAGCAAGTGGCTTTTAAATTACCTCAAACAATCAGCCTTGCTTTGAATTTATTTCTACTTTCCCCTTCCTATCCTGATGTTTTGGCTGCTTTAGAGAAGGGGAGTAATAGCTACTCCACCCCCCTGCTCATGTGTTAGGCTATCATTAGGCTTAATCAATGATGAGCAACTCAGAGAAGGGGGTACTGTAAGTGGTGAGGCTCAAGTTAAGGTAATGCAGTGTACATGGAATTGTAATGGAATTTAACAATATAATATGGTTATCACTGTAGAAATAAAAGCATTGGTCCATCTAACATAAACCTATTATCTCTCTCAGTATGAGTGTCTATAATACTCTGAATGTTACCGTATAGAAAAGAGTGCTTTTTCTGTTATTGGGAGTAAAAATTGTGCATTATATCAGTCATTGAACAAGTGGACGAGCCATTCCTCTTTTGGGAGGGAGACGGTTTAATTTGTGGACTGGTGAGCATGTGACATAATTTAGCATCTTGACAGTGTTAAGTGTAGTGTCTAGAGGGTTAAAGAAGTGTTGAGAAATGTGTCTGGGCTACTGCCTAAAACACACCTTGTGCTTAGCTAATTCAAGCTTACTTATTGTAGCTTTGGAATGTTCAACAGTGGCCTGAAAGTCAGACAAAAGAAAAGTTAAAAAAGTTTTGTTTTTTTACAGTGTACTGCATGTATTTACAGAAGAACTAGTAATACACATAAAAGTAACTCTCGAAACTGTTTAGCTTCAAATATCTTCATTACAATGTCCAGCAGCTGAGACTGCAGCAATGAGTATATGAGATTTTGTGATGCCCCCAGCGTTAAGGTGTGTGCCTCCACTTAATAGATTCTAGCACAGCTGCCATGCTTCATTAAACATTCTTTTCTGAGAAGTAATAGGATTTCTCAAGGATCATAACAATATGTATAAATGTGTCCTTTTTTTAAACAGAATTTCTGATATAAAAGATATTTCCATTGATGAAGTAATTCTCCGCATGGTTGGCTTTCTATTTTCTCTTGCTTTTTGAGTGAGCGCAATAAGATAAATGCATTTTCCTTTTAATTTCTTCTGCTCGTCCTATTTTTGTTTCTTTGCTAGCTTAACTGATTAACTCTGTACTTTTCTGACCCTCCGGCCCCCTAATGTAGCATGCTCAAATAGATGTATGCAGTAACTCTGAATGCTTTGCAGCTTTGCAGCATTGCAGACTTACGAATATGATCTGACAAAGGTGATTTTCCCTGTATTGTAACAGCAGCTATTCAGCAGCAGTCACAGATGATTATTAAGGTTATTTCAGAGAAGGGGCATTATCTGCAATGTATAAATATAAAGGGTTTTGTGTTTTTTTAATGATTTAAACTGGTGTAGGGGAGATGGACTGTCATTAACCTTGACTTATTTCTTACTCTATAATTAACATGGCTTCTCACATGAATTCCCTAAAGACCAGCAGTGACAGAAATAATGGTGTATCATTTGGAAATAACATATACCATAGGGGATAGTGAGAACTGAATGTTTTAGCCTTTCACCCCTGTAAATGATAGTTTACGGTCCAGCTTCAGTTGAAAAACTATTTAAATTATTTTTCTCATTTTAACTCTTGGTCATTAAAAGCTAAAAACCTTTATTGACATAACAGTAGGCTGTCCCCTGCATTGCATCTTTAACAGTGGGACAGTGAAACACATCATACTCCTTTCTTTAAAGACCTCATAAACATATGCATATTCTTAAGTGTCCATAGGTTACGGGGGGGTGTTTACTGGATTGAACTGTCATTACCACCTACAGTATTTTAAGTGTAGATGCAGCCTTCTAATTATTGTTTCCAAATGTATTCTCATCCCATTTTGAATCCATTATGGAAGCCCAAACTATAGGTGATATAATGGTTTAACCATCGCAAGCTGATCAGATCAATTATATTGAAAATGAATACAAAGAAATGAAAATATCACAATTAAAAAATGAAAATGCTGTCCAAAGCAGGTGATTGGTTGGCTGTGTTCTGTTGTTATACTGTAGATATGCAAGGAAGCAGCCCTTGTTTTTTCAAAAAGTTGTGAATAGTTGTAAGAAAATAATTTACATTAACTGTGTTTTTAAGGCGCAGTTGCCAAAGTACGTCATGTGTTTCGTAGCAGAGAAAAGCACTTTGCTCTTATTAAAACAGCTTTTATTGCTCTAGCTGAATTGCAGATGGTATTTTCGAAGAAAAACTGTCTTGTTATAAGCTGCATTTATAAAAGCACTTTTCATGTGGAAAAAAAGGCCCATTTACAAAACAGACCCCTGCTGTTAAAATTGAGATAACATAATTGGATGCAGGTACACTTTCACATTTGCAATTGTTACAAACATTGCAGTGTACAAAAAAGTTAAAAGTTACAAATAAGGCTTCCTTGCCCCAATTGCTTCTGTATCTGATTACGATACCCCCATTTTCAACTGCTGAAGGCTTTTTGTAAGTTGGTTGCAGTGCTTTTTTCAAAGAAGGATCATACGGTATGTTAAAAAGACAACTGTCATTCAGCTTCTAATCGTATTCTTACAAACACATCTCATTAGCTTGGAAGTTATAGAAACGATCTTTCTCCAAGATTTATGTTTCTGTGAATTATAAATATCACATACCTGCATTCATAATACTAGAGGTATATCAGTAATGGCCATCATTGTCTTAAGATGTATAATTAACCATACCTATACACTATATTTGAGTGGACAGATGAAAATCGATGGTTAACGGATGTAGTTTCTATGTTGTGTTCTGCAAGCTTGCCCCACTCCCTGCTGTTGGAATGGCCCAGACACGTTCTGTACAGTATGTCCTAGTACATGACACTACAATCAAGCATTGTTTGAACATCTTGTATATAAGCTGATAGGAAGAATACAGCAGCAAAGCTACTCTCCTGCTAGGATTTTTTTATGAAGATGAATATGTATTCTTCCACTTGGGATATTTTGCAGAAACTAATCAGTTAGATTTTTAATGAGTATATGGAACTGCAGTTATGACATTTTGGCAAAAACTGACTGGATCTACAAATCACAGCTGTTTCACCTTCAAACAACTGTATTTAAGCTGTGGACCAAGAATCTCATCTCAGCATGTGCATGCCTAATTTACTGCAATTTCCCTCACGGGATCAATAAAGTATCTATCTAATTATTTTGCATTCTAACGGGAAAAGAAAGGAGGAAAATGCTTAGAGGCTAGAAATTAAATAGTGTATTGCTTTGTATGTGTACATGTATAATCAAATCTGTAAGGTGAAAATTGTATGTTTATAGAAGCAATACCTTGGGTGGAAATGAGCTTTGGCTAGAGGAATTTTCACACCCGTATGCTTTGGACAAGATGTTGATGAAGGTACAGAGTACAGCACTTTTGAAACCTATTGTCAAGGGTGATTCTTCTTTAATTAAAAAATAGCTGTTAATCTTAAAGACTTTCTCCAGTGAAAATTCAAAGCCAATGTGGTCCCTTTATTTATAAAACAGATTAAAGGTGGTAAAGGTAAAGGAAGTATTTTAAAAGGTAACAGCTTTGCAAAGGAAACTACAATTTAAAATTACTGTAGGCCAAAACCCTTGCAATTCCCTGTGATTCACTTTACACAGAATAAAACAGTTGCTGTGTGTTAACTTGTTTAAAGTCCTTTTCTTTGCTTAATATATTCAGTTCACAACAAAAAGAAGTTTCTTCAGACCAGCTGCCTTCATAAAATTCAACAGGACTTCCTCTAATGAAAATCAGCACAAACGAGTCTCTGTTGCTGTTCCACAAAGAACTAATTACAAACTTCGCTTTGAACCCCTTTAAAAAGTATTAGCTCCCCATTTATGTTTTTTGTTCTCTGTTATGTTTTCAATATATGTAAAGAAAGTTTTTTAATTACTCAGAAATACCCTGGGGGATTCTGTAAAATTAAGATAAAATATTTATCTTAAAC